ATTTTTTTTTTTGGGTTTTTGTTTTTCAAAAAAAAAAAAAAAAAGGTGTACTATTTTTTTTTTAGAGCAGGGCAAGACAAGACAAACGAGTCAAATACAGTGTTTAATCTGATAACTTCTGCAGAATGCAGCATTCCTTCCCTCAGACCCTCGTTCTCTTTTTAGCTGAGTTCATACTGAACTGTCCCTGTTCTTGGTTCCAGAGCATAGCTGAGAGAAAGCATTTGCGTCCCATTCCTGGGCCCAGTCTGGGTCCAGGTTTGAGCCCTTCACACAGTCAAAGTCACCAGGAGAGAAACTGCTATGCAGGCTGCATTCACCTGCTGCCTGACCTCATCCAGCAGAGCCATCAATCCCCTTCATCCTCCCCCTCATCCAGTCATGGCAGCCCATCTATGTCCCCCCAGATTCCCATGGACATGCTGATAGTCAGTGAGGTATGTCCCCTGCCCTCGGCACTGAATTCTGCTGCTGTCTTCATGTGGGCTCTACTATTCTGAGTGCTTCTAACAAAAGCATACTTTTTTTGAGGCCATAGTAGCACATAAAGGCCTCTTCCCATCAAATGCAAGAAATCACAAGCCATTGGTCAATTCATAGCAAGCGCAAAATGAATATCAGCTTTTCATACAGCAGATGGTGCCCAACAGACATTTTATCTGTGCATGTCAACTCGTAAGTCTAATTTGTAATCTGAGAGAATCTGTGAATGTTGACAAGATCAGTTGTCTAAAGTGGAAAAATAGTCGGTTTGCTAAAGAGTCTGATGTCTGGCTGAGCAATAAAACGATCGCGATATAATTTTCCTCGATAAAACTATAACAGGAGTTTGATAAATGTTTGATATAATGTTTATGCACCAAAAGCGGAATGAAACAGCGCTACTAATTTGAACCGTGCCACACAGACCATTTGTCCACTCTTTCAGGTCTCACGCATTCACCATGAGACACACGCATTTCAACCAGTTCACATGCTGACACACCACACCTTGTATTTCTCACGCTGAGAAGTAAGGGATAACTTGTCCCACTATATACAATTAATGGACAAGGCTAAGACATACGGAGGGAAGTTTTCTGCAGAGTTCATAGCGGCTTGAGTTATACAAAGTTAAATGCCACCTACCAGCCAATCAGAAATTAGAATGTTTCCACGTAAATTACGTGATCCCACTGCAAGCACATTCTTTACTAGGCAATATGGATGTGCACACCATGCATATCTATGGCACACACACAAGGAGTGTAAGCAATGAATAGAAAAATAGAAATTCAAAGACAGTTCATTCCTATACTTATGAATGGGAGAAACTGCAACGCGCAATATGGCGGCCGCAGAATAGTCCCTTCTTCTAAATGAAAGAGCCAGTCGCTGACTGGTAAAGTCATTGCGTCACTGCAGCGGCCGTTAGAAGCTCCGGTTCCAATAGAAACCTGAGGCTAGACCAGCCAATGCGTAAGCGCATGCACATTGGCCGGTCTAGCCTGAAAAATAAGCTTTTTTTAACGCTATTTGAGCATAAGAAACAACATTCATGGTGCAGTTAATTTCAGATTTTGTTGCTGATTTGAAATATGTAATTTATTTGTGAGTTCATAGGGCAGTTTTTGAGATTTCAGGATTCCCCCATTCATTTAGACTCTTGGATGAGCTGCCTGGAGGCGTTGCAAATATGGCCACTGAGTGAACAGACTTTCCATGAAAGGGACTTTGGTGTAAGTTGGAAGAGCAAGATTCGATAAATGCTGTAGGTAACCCCTTAATTGGATGAAATCACTTGCCTGTGATCAAAGATAGTGAGAGCTGATGTTGGGGAATATAGCCAAATTCGCGCTAAATTATTATTGATACAGTCAAAAACTCTCCAACTGCTTTGCAACCAGAAGCTTAAACTTAGCTTTGGCTACCTGAAACTAAGGAAAGTACTAGAGATGTTATAACAATTGGTAAATCTGATAAAAAACAGACATTCATCCAAATAAAATAAATTGTTTTATATATTTCAAAAATACAAACGTGTCAAAAATAAAAAATAAATTTGGCCCCAAACAAGCTGGACAGCAGTGATCAATGTACATACTGTACACATACAGTAGGATTGCAGAACTTGCCCTGAGCATGTGTGTCAAGCTGTGTGTGGCTATTTTCTGTCCTGTTTTGACCCCCCTTGTCAGAACACACTGTTTGGATAGGCATGACGCATTATAGATTTGTAAGTAAACGCCTACTGCTGTGATTGGCTAACAGTTGCTAATTTCAGTTATAGGCATAGCCATTAGCCTATAACACACAACTGAAACATAACATTACAATAACTGGGCACCAAAAACAATAAATAAAATATTTGGGACATTACAACTCTTCATAGGCACATTGGAAGGCAGTCCAAAGACTGCACAGCATCTTGTTATCCTCTGAGCCATCTTTATCATTTGGTTGCTGAGTAAACCTGTGTTTGCCTCTCTCGTTATTTACCTACTACATGTGCAAAAAGAGGTAGTGATGTATAAGTAGGCATTGATCTTCTTCTGCAGAGGTGGTCTTTCATCTATGAAATCATAATGTGACAAATTGTAAAATGAGTCGTTTTGGTAGCTTGGCTTCAATATAAGTTGTTTTTGGACTAGCAAGAAAGTTTTGAGTTTTGAAACTTGCGGGATGTTTTTATAGTACAATGACCACTTGTATGTTCAATTCATGACCCCTTTAAAAGGTGTTAGAAACATGCATGCTAGCAGCAATGCTAACACATGCTAGAACCATGCTATTAATGTGCTAAAAACATCATAAAACAAGTTGTAACAAGTTCAAACTTTCAGCCCCCACCCCCAAACCCCCTATTTATCTAATTTAACTCACAAAGGAATTCCAGAAAGGAGATAAGGGCTGACCTTGAACTGAAAGCATTCTCTGAAAGAGTTTTTGGAAACTCTTAGTAATATGAGGTGACGTTTCCCGTACGTCACCATTCCATAGAATTTAAGCCCTGCAGTACCTCAAATGCCCACAGAGGTATTTTATAACATTATATACTGTAGTATGTAAAATGTTATTTTCTCATAAGTCTAGATCTGGTTTGATCTAAAAATCTTATTTAATGTTTTAAGGACAAGAACAACAAACAAATGCTCGTGGGTCTGAATATTTCCCACACTCTTTACGTTCTGAACTGTTGTCATTTGCTTTTACTTTATTTCATCTTTAACCTTCTAACTTTTATGCCATCTGTACTTCCCATTTAGCTACCCCAGTGTATCTTGTTTGGTTTTGAATTGACATAAATTACATCAGTTACATTACATTTCATGTTAAGTTTACATATTAGGGACTTTAAGAAAATAATTTAGAGACTAGATTTTAGCTTATTTTGTGAGTAGCCAGTTTCAACGTGTTAATTGAGAAGCTCAAACGCATCACCTTAAATTGTTCTACCCTGTTTCTTGTCTTATTTTTTGTCCTATTTCAGACACAGTCTGCCAGCAACACACTTCAAAAACACAAGTCTTCTTCCTCTTTTACCCCATTTATCGACCCACGTCTTCTACAGATTTCCCCTTCCAGTGGCAGTTCCCTCAACAACATGGGTAAGTCATTCTGAAGTCATGGGCAAGTATTTCTTCAAGACCTGAGACTTATGTGACAATATTTATTGTGGCAACAATATGTCTATCAATAGAAATTTTGCTATATTGAGTATACTGGGTAGGGATGCACCGATACCACTTTTTCCAGTACTCGCCCGATACCGATACTTTTATTTTTGGTACTTGCCGATACCGAGTGCCGATACCAATATTTTTATTGCATTTGTACATTTTTTAAATATTGGGTACAGAAACCAAAAGAGTATGTATAATGTTAGTTGGTTAACTTAATTTATCAAATAGATAGTCAAACCAAAATTTATTCAGACACCTTCAACATTTCTCACATTATCACAGTTTATTCGCTATAGTTTAGAAAATGGTAATAAAATATGACAAGAACTCAGAGTTAAACTGTGTCTGAACAAATTCAGCTTGATAATGTTAGATAACTTTGATAGAAATGTATGTAATAGATTACAATCAACCAAAAATTAGACAGCTGTTAGTATGACAGTATTTACACAACTATCAATACTTAGTCAGGCAACCCTTAGCCTCAATGACAGCCTGTAGTCTCCCGAGCATGCTGTCACCCAGCTTCATGCAAACCTCAACTTCAATGTTTTTTCCCCAGACTCTGTCTGAATAATTTTTGGTCCCAAATTTGTATCAATTTTACTGGTAGTCCACTGTATGAA